ATAATCCTAACCCTAACCCTAACCTAAATGACATTAAACCACAAACTAATATATGACCATGACCATATATCAGGGTTCCCCAAGCTTTTCCATTATAGCATGGCAGGGCTGCCTTCACGGTCCTAGTTTTAGCATTTTTTTGCAAATTTTAGCATGGCGGCTATGATATTTAGAGTGGTGGGGCTCGCCAATAGCCTGGCGGGCCGCCAGGCTATAAGTGCTCTTGGAGAACCCTGTATATATATATATATATATATATATATGTTCTTATGCCCATTAATGACGTTAAAGTTAAATGGAGTGTCACCCGAAGCACGACTCACCGTGTGGGTAGGCCAGCATGGAAGCACAGGTTTTCGACACGGCGCCGGCCAGCATGAACTCGAGGAAGTCGCGCGTCGTCTTAGTGTCACACGAGCAGCCGCCACGCCGCTCTCTCAGTTTGCGTTTCACATATTCATATATCACAAAGTGCACAACAGTCTCGGCGATGCCGTAGTAGGACGCGGTGATTCCCTTATAGAAGGCGCGGAAGCCTCCCTCGCGGACGATGTCCCGCAAGCACTGCCACACCGTCAGCCGCTGCTGTCCCGCTTTACTGTCAAACAAAACATTCGGCATTATAGACAGTTAAAAAGCAAAAAGTATACATTGAATTCATACCTGTGTACAAGGGCCCATACCTGTAAATGCGATAAATGGTCTGCATTGACAGGCGATCATACTATATTATATCACTAGGTTTCTCCCCCGGAAATTTAGAAGGTATGTGGTTTGTGGACGGGTGGGGGAGGGCACAGGAGGAGGTTGTACCAATTGGAGTCAATTATGCGTGTTTTCGAGTCAATTATTCGTTCAAATTCGATCAGCTTAGAGATTTATCAAGTTGTGAAAACGCAGCAACACTGTGTTGGGATTGTCAAGAGTAAACACAGCTGGAAACCAGGGCATGTCAATTAGGCAATTAAAGCATGCCAGAAGATTTACGAAACTTACAGACGCAAATTAGCTTCCACTTGAATACTATAGGCATTACAGTGTTAAGGGAGGCTTATGTCGGGCTTGCGAGCCGACTCAACTGGAAGCAACTGGCTGCAATTCACTGCGACTGCAGTGCTTAGGTGGACTGCGACGCGACTGCCTGCGACTGGCCGCCACTAGTTGCTCGAAATAGAACAGTGGGCAACTGGACGCAACTAGTCACTGCCGATCGCTTCCAGTTGCTCGAAATCCAGTTGCTTCCAGTCGAGTCGGCTCGCAAGCACAACATAAGCCCCCCTTATAAAGCCTGATGAGAACCACCTATCACGGTACAACTGTCATTCAAGGGAATGGCCAGGTGCCCTTTGTAGACAGGTACCCATTCTCAATGAATATTTTTGTTTTTTAAACATTATTATTTATGGAAGTACAGTCTGGATTGCACGAGTGGTTTCCTCGTGTTACAGCGTTAACGGTTGTGACCTTGGGCTGGGGCTCAGTGGGGATTTAAGCATTGCTATCAACAAGTTGTTATGCCACTGAACGACAGCTTTAGCTTCAGTTAATTTAGATAAGATGAGTGTCAGGGGAGACAACGTAACAGCTTGGTGGTGCCAGATTGACAGTAATAGAAGCCACAGCAGCTGAAGTAGATAGCAGAGATGCCAACACATATTTAAAGCAATCTGTAGTTTCTGGCCATCAAATTAGTAGTTCGAGGGTCACGTAGTGACCCGAGTTTGCTAGGGGGGTCCGGCATGCCTCCCTGAAAAATGTTTGATTCTGAGATGCAATTTCCTGCATTCTGGGGGTCAAAAATGACAATAAATTGACAAAAAATGACAATAATGTACAAACTTCTTCTTTTTTTCGATCACAGTGTAATTCTTAGCTTGATACAAACTGGTCGTAGTGGTGCAAAAGGAATAGAAATTCGTATAAAATACGGATAAATCGTAGTGGTTGGCATCTCTGACTCTGAGATAGAAGATGACAGTTACAAACCCTCGCAGGAACCACCCGACGTGGTCTTTTTGATAAGTTCTAAACCAAAGTTCACTTGTAGCCCATTGGTGATGATGCACTAACGACAACCAAGCTATGTCGCTCGTTGGAAGTTATTTATAGACGTGTTAGAAAGACATACTGACATAGTAGCAAGGAATGACAGCACTGCGAGTGGTTACTCCTCTGCCGTAATGTAACTCCTATTTCCGCTGCCCTCACTGCTATGCTGATGAGAGAGGCAATAAGGCTTTCTTGGTTTCTGTATCAGTTATCATGGACTTCACTATCAAATTGCGCTACCATGTTCACCAATGAGAATGAGTTTGGTAAGTGTCTGTCTCAAACATTTTAAAACCTGTATGCTTCACCGCCAGCACATGCATCCATGACATAATAATGATCTTGTGAAACAGCTAAGTGAATCAAGTTTTGAATGAGCCACACAAATAGTGACAGGGCGTGAAATTAGCACAGGCCCACCGGCAAATGCCGGCAAATTATTTGGAGGGACAGTAATATTGGAAAAACACCGGCCCTCCGAGCCGGTGGTTTCAGCCGTGTTAGCGAGTACCTACATTTTTAGCTCAGCTGACGAAGTCAGATGCAGCTTGTAGAATCGCATGAATGTCCGTCCGTCTGTCCGTCCGTCAACAGTTACGGCACAAATCTTAACCGCGCGACGTACGATCTTGATATTCGGGACGTCGGGAATAGGGAAAGGTCGCGAAAATGACTCAGGATGTCGAATTTGAGGGTCAAGGGTCAAAGGGCAAGATATGTCAATATTTCCCCCTTAACTTAAAGTGTGTATTGCGATATTTTTGCTCAGAAAAACTAAATATAGCTGAATATAGTCTCACCTGACAGCAAAACAGCCAGACACTAAACGCGCGAGAGGCGTGTTAGTGGGTGATATGGTGCTAGGATTACCTAGAAGTACTCGATTTTTATCGCTTTATATCTCGGCATAGGAACATCGTAGAGACAAGCGATTGATCTTATGTTGGCTAACTATGACGCCTGCATAATATTCCAGTAGAGAAGTACCTCAATAAGGTAGGTAAACTTTATTAATTTTGCTGAAATGACACCACGGTTTTCCTATTTCAGTGTTGTACGCTCTGGGGTTAATGGGCTCTTGATTTTATCGTGTCGCGATAATGCCTAATAGCAGAATTGGTAAACTTGTATTTGTGTCGGTGATTAATTGAAAACAAGTGCATGATTTGAGAGAGCCTATACTTTGTCTATGGCAGATAAGCGGTGGCGCCACTAGCTAATCCATACTTCCGGCTAGTTTCAAGATGACAACAAACGATTGTTTACCAAACTAGTAGTTCGAAAACTGGCACTTTTTTTGGTTCACAGGTCAAAGGGCAATGGGGGAAAAGTCAGATATCAGACATTTTCTGAGGACATGGTCTAACGGACCGAGTGCACTCAACTTTTGTGTTTCAGCGCCGACCTACCATTTTTATCACTTTATTGAAAGGATCGTGAAATCTACTTTCCGCTGACGTGCGAAGAGCAAGTGTCTGATAACCTTTTGACCCACAAGAGGAGGGTTAAACATGGATTTGTTGACTGTTAACAAAGGACTGAACTGCTTTTGCTATTAGA